CCTTCTATATTCTATCGAACATCTGTTGTCCTGACCTCTTCTTCTTTTTTATGTTTGTTACTCTTTTGCAACACCTCTAATCTTGGGCACTTATATGACCTTATTGTATTGCAAGTGCCGTAAAACTCTTACTAAAACTGAACTAAATGTGAATTTAGTCCACATAGTATATGTGTAGCGTGCTGACAAAATAAGTTACTTCTCGAATTGGAGCCACATAGATTATACATACATCACATTTATAGGTGAAGTTTTTTAGATTTTTATAAGTATGAAATAATGAAAGAAAGACATGTTATACTTGAAGAATGTGGCATCAATAGAAAATCTACAAATTTGACCATGGTGCCAATTTTTGGCCAATGTATCTCCATTTGTGGATTGCGAGGACTGACTCATTTTGTCAGCTTGCCTCACATATGTACATCTTGTTGTATATAAATATACAGTCTAAAACAAACATCTCATTGTATATAAATATACAGTCTAAAACAAACATCTCATTGTATATAAATATACAGTCTAAAACAAACATCTCATTGTATATAAATATACAGTCTAAAACACAAATAGCAAACATGCACTTAGCAAAAAACACGTTTAAACAATCAGGTTTTCGGGTCCCAAATTTTTTCTCCTAGGGAAAGTCTCTTTCTTTTATTTTCCAGTCATCTTTAGAATGTGTAACTATGGTTTTCTAATTCCATATTTTGTTTTGTTTGTTTTTGTTCTGAAACTTACCGTTAGTATTATATCGGGTAAACAGCCGCAACCATCTCTGAATTTGAGCCTCGTTGTGCTCTTTCAAAACAAATAGAAGGTCAATAGGTGCCGAAAATAACAGGTGTTGCTAGACAGTAACTTCCAAAGAAAAGAAGGAGGAGAGATGATTGGGTGGTTGGTGGGTGCTCTGGTGTGGTTTGCTTCTTCTTTCCTATCAAACATCTATCGCCCTTATCTCCTCTTCCTCTTTTTTATGTTTGTTACTCTCTTGTAACACCTCTAATCTTCTGGCGCTCATATTCATATGCCTTATTCAGTTGCAAGCGCCGTAAAACCTCTACTAAAACTAAAACCAGATAAGGATGACAATACAGTAGAACTCAGATAGGTCGAACACAGAAGACTCGAAATCACACATCTGTCAAACTGTGCCTGGGGTCCCGGTTTTTTTTCTTTTTCTTCTTCATCTTTGTAAGATATCCCTCAAACTACCGAGACCAGTCCCGACAAATTCGAGCTATCTGTGTTATGCTGTAGATGTTTGGTTGGAAAAAAGGAGCAAACCATACCAGAGCACCCACCAAACACCCATGAGAAAATGTGTAAAGTGTTGGGGTTTCTTTTTCTTTTTTCAAGAACACAACATTGGGCCCACTGTGGAATTTGAACCCACACCCTGAGGTTTTCGAGTCTTTTTGTTTGAGCTTACCAACAATTTTTCCCATAATTATAATTTGTTGCTTTTTAGTTCTTTAAAGAGGTAAATAAATTGCCAGTGCTGTCTGTTGTTCTCGTAATCATAACACACTGGGCTAAAAATAGGTTTAGCTGGTCTGATGTCGGTGGACGTGGATCTTTTTAAGTCGCTTCTACACCGTGCAAAAACTTGGTACATTAGCCTGGCCGGGACATTATCTTATTTTGGTGGACGCCTAGACTTAGTGCTGGGAAATCCAATGTTGTGGTGAGACAGATGGACAGAAACAACAGAGGGAAAGTCGACAAGTAGGACCTACCAGTGACACCCTCCAACCACCCACGTTGTGGACGGTGGTGAGAAGTAGAATGTAGAGGCCGGTAGAGCCGGACTGTGAGTGTGAGGAATCAACTTGGAGGGGATCTCTGTGTTCTTCCGGGGACTGCTGTCTCTGTCTTGTCAACGAAGGAGGAGGAGGGGAGGAGGAAAACAGCAACAATGATAATGATGAAGAGGAGGGGGAGGAGGAGGAATTAATGAAAGGACAGGAGAATTGTGTGTTTG